ATACCATACCATACCATACCATACCATACCATACCATACCATACCATACCATACCACTTTTATTTATAACAGCACAAGGCCAACCAAAGTGCTATAGAAGAGACAGACACAACAGGACATAGTTAAAATTACTGTCAAAAATACAATCAAAATACATGTACATTAAATAAATAAATAAATAAATAAATAAATAAATAAATAAATAAATCTAAATGCACAATTGTACGTACTATGTACAATTGTTGACAACCTAAACATTTATAAGCTGACGTATCTAACTACCAACAAACTGTTTAGTTTGATTAAAACTTGTAACATGGACAACACAGTGGCTCAGTTGGTAGGCCTGTTGCCTCCCAGCAAGAAAGTTGCTAGATATAATCCCAGCTGAGGGCCTTTCTAGGTAGAGTTTGCATGTTCTCTCCATGCATGTGTGGGTTACCAAAAACATGAATGTTCGGCTAATTGTTAACTCTAAATTGTCTAAATTGTTAACTCTAAATTGTCTAACTTGCCAGGTGTGAGTGAGAGAGTGATTTGTTTAGTCATTTGTCTCTATGTGTCCCTGTGATGGACTTGTGACCTGTCCAGGGTGTACCCTGCCCCTCACACAGTGACTGCTGGATATGGGCATCGGGTTCCCACAGCATGGATTTACTATTCGGTATTACTTTTTCCATTATGATCTTTAGTTTTCATGTAATTTGGCAAGGCTAAGACATTTCTCTCCATTTCTCTTTTTTAAAGTAGATGTTTGACAGCCATCTTCCTCAAAAACTAATTCTGATGAGCATTTAGCAAGCAATACATGGATTAACTAAACATCCCATGTCAAGTCCCTGATGGATTTTTACTTTTTAAAAGACATGCCATTTAAATGTTGTTGTGTTGTTGTTTTTATTTTTTTATTTTTGGCATTTTTTGTGGATACAATTAGAAGCAATATTTATTTTGTGACAAGCAGCTTAAAGTCTAGTTTAAAACAGTTTATTTTATTTTTTTTTTTTTTTTTCAACGTTGCCCTATAAGTAAACAAACCACTCCCTAATTTCGTGAGTTTAGATGCCCTCTTATGCCAGAATGTTAGCTTAAGTAGCTAAAAGCAAATGCAAAGGCGAGTCAAAAAGTAGCCAAATTGTAAGAAAATAAAATTCCAGTAAAGATGGAGACCTTTGAAAAAAAGACCACTTTTAGAAAAATTTTCAAAGAGACCGCCTCAGAATATAAAGACACAAAACCATAAACTCTTGCTACATTATTGGCTTTTTTGGTTTTCTTTTAACTCACAATTTATGTTTGCAATATCTTTCAGCATAGTTTTAAAACATGTTTAGAAATTCTTTTTATGATAATTTAGTTATGTTTAGAAGCTTGTTTCTTCATGTATGAAGTCAATTAACGTTCACTGTAAAATTATTATACAGTTTGAGTTAAATACATCTTTTCACAAAGGTTTATTTTGGATGTATTATACTTGGCTGAGTTTTATTTAAAGCAGATGATTTTGTCTTATTTAATTTAAAGTGACAGCCTAAGATGCTGTGTAGCACTTAAAGCATATTAAGTGGTGCTATGGACGTAAAAATGTAGCTTTTTTTTCACTTATTTTTGGTCCATTATTTCACTCGTGGTGGGTTTTAGTGCTGTAAAAACTAGCATTTTTGCATTTGGTGTAAAATGTATCCAATTGTAGTTGTGTACTTGTGAATTATTTGTTATTTGAAATGATGACCTGACTATTTACAGAACACAACATTTTTACAATGTAGATAGCAAGAAATATTTTAATTTAAACTTTTATTATTGCACTTTCTTTGTCTAAAATATCAATCAAGAGTAACTGATATTCCTAAAGGCTTTTTCATGTCAAAGTCAGATGTTAATTTGCAGTTTTTATAACTCATACTATCACGTATACAGTATGTGCTCGTTTGTTGACTTTTCGATTTGTTTAATAATTTTAGGAAATGGAGAAGGCGAGGACAGACCTCTTAGAAGATGTGACATCCAACAAGAGAAAAATGAAGGAGCTCGAGGACAACCTTCTGTACAGACTTACCAGCACACAGGCAAAAAAATACATTTCATAATGTAATGCATGGACAAAAGGAAACATAAACAGTAATACTTCCAAATGAGTTACATGYATGGATATAATTAGGATTTTATAAGTGTGGCTACTGAAGCAGCTTTTTAAAATTCAGATCAAGATTTGTATCCCTGATCATAAACACGTTTATGTAGATTCTAAATAAAAGTTGCCGGCACTAATTCTTCACAGAGAGAGCTACATTAAGTAAGTTATGACCTGTCTAGGGTATCCTCTGTGTCTCACACGGACAAATCAGATGGATGAATGTTTTTAAATTTTTATTGTAATGTGTTTTTGTAGGGTTCACTTGTGGACGATGAGAGTCTGATTTCGGTTCTCAGCAGCACAAAGCAAAAGGCTGATGAAGTCACTCAGAAACTCCAAATTGCTGCMGAGACTGAGATTCAGATCAATGCTGCAAGAGAGGAATACCGACCCGGTAGGTTTTGACATTAAAGACTGACTGTTCAAACATTTCCTTTACTCAAATTCTTTATCAAATGTTTGTTTCAGCTTCAACAACACTTTTTGCCTTTTTTATTTTCTAATTTCAGTCAAGCAATGACAAACAGTCACATAAAGAAATCTGTCTGTCTGTACCAACATGTTACTTTTTATTATGTTTTGAAGGCCAACTGTATGAAAATCATTTTTTTGTTTAATAAATATAGGTCATGGTTCATAGAACTTTGAGATATGAAAAATAGTTTTACTTCTTTTTGTTGTATCTCTTACTTTGTGTTGCTCTGTGATTTCAGTGGCCACTAGGGGCAGCATCCTGTATTTCCTGATCACTGAGATGAGTATGGTCAACGTCATGTATCAGACTTCTCTCAGGCAGTTCCTGGGACTTTTTGACCTTTCACTTGCTCGGTGAGTTTAACAGCAAAAGTATTATCATCATCGCATAATGACTTAATTTGACCTAAATATGCATGCTATTTTTATATTGGCATGTTTGTAATTAATGTTAATTATGCATTCATTCACATTTACCATTAGTTTTTGTCATTAAAACAATTGTTTATGCAGTACAACTTTGACACTTGCTATACAAAGCTTTAGGTGCCTGTGACGTCACAACATATTGCAAAAGAAAAAAAATATCACTGCTATGAGCTGACCAATTGTTGAGATAAAAGCATGGGAAGGAGAACGTTGGAGCCTATTAATTATTTAAATGACATTCTTGTTATTTGTAGAATTATGTAAATTATTATTATTGTTTTAAAATAAGCCTAATGATTTTTATAGATAAAACATTGTGATTTTTGTTCAGGGCCCTCCTCCTGTTTGGCCAACTGTGATTAATGAGAAAATGGCACTTGGGTAGAGAGAGTCTGAACCATTGTGGAAGTAGTGAGGAGTGAAACAGTTTTTGTACCACTAAATCACATTTTTACTTGGATTTTGTTGAAAGTCAACCGGAGAATATTTCTGTTTATTTTTTTATTTTTTGGAAGTAAAGTCAAAACATTTTTGGTTGGAACTGGAAAACCTCTCCGAGTGCTTTTTTATTTGGTGCATCGAGAACCTCCTCCCTAGGCAATACTCTGACATTGTTGGACAATATCTGAATGCCAGAGCTGCCGAAACAGGGAATGTCTGCATGTAAGGAGAAGTTTAATAAAATGGCAGACAATCCAGACTGTAGAAAAGACTGTGATGTTTGTTTTTTCAAATTATTGTGAGTCAATATCAGAGACACAAAGAGTCAGAGTTCAAATAATATTTTTTCAGTTCACAAAGATCAGGGTGTTTTCTTTCTTAAAGAGTTCCCMTTTGATGTCACTTCCTGTTTCACTTGGGCTGAGCCAAAATCAAAAGAGTTATGTGACAAAATAGGTAAATTAGGTAAACTATATAATATAAAGGAGTTTTCTTTGACTTTTTGTTAGAATGTGCATGTCACAGACACTTCTTTATTGCTCTTTCTGTTTGGTCGGGGTGTAGGGTGAGGTGTAGGGGTTTGGTCTATCTAAATACTGTAACAGCCATTTGCTGGTCAGTTACTTTTAATATCTATAAAGTTTGTAGAAACAAACCTGTTTGCATCATTTTCTTTCAGAGTGCTATCACAGATCTCTTTAGACTCTGGAAGTCCTCATGCAGCACCATTGTGGATGTACAAATAAACTTTCAGCTCCTGGTGCAAACTTCAAAACCTTTTACAATGTTGATAGCAAAAAGAACAATCAAATACGCATGTCAAACCTATGGAGGACCAAACCTATCATTATTGGAAATAAATGTATAAATATATAAC